TAAGGCAAGAGCATCATGAATTTGAGGCTAATTCGGGCTGCTTAAAAAGTCCAAGTCTCAAAATACAAAACACAAATTCACATTCAGGCACACACACACACACACACACACACACACACACACACACAAGCTACACATATATAACTGCAAAAATGAAAATGTATATCACATTTAATTAGAAGTAGAAATGTAAAATTACGTGCTTAGAGACTAAAATGCTAAATCTATTTCCTATACATCAGTGAAAACCAAATGTTTTATTAATGATACTGATCCAAATGTGAAAAGCACAGTCAATCAGAGTTAATCAGTTCTCTGTGTCTGGTTTCATTAGGCAAACGGAATCAGGTCAAGTCATTCATCTTTAGTTTAATTATTTGATCCGTGATACCAGTCTAATGCCACCTGTGTACATATATAAGGTTCATCAAGAAAATTAAGAACTGCCACTATTTTCATCGTTGCTGATTCTCAAAATAATCATTAACCTTAACTTTATACAGACAGGGAAAATTCCAAAATTTCTGACCTGGTAAACATAGATGAAATTTGAACTTACTCTTCATGAGGTTAGAAAAAAAAAGTCAGAATGAAATATCACTATTTGGCACAAAAAATTAACTGTCTTACATATTTACTTGTATTACAAGATATTTACTTCAATGCATACTAATATATGTGCTTAGGTCTTGCTCTATGCATATATACAGATGGATAGAAAGATGAAGATAGGTAATGGATATAGCTAGCTATATAGATAGATGGTAGATAGATAAATAGATGAGAAGCTTATAGAAGTTTGGCTTTTGTGACAGTGTTACTCTATGGAGCTAAGGTTGTCAGGAACCTGTGATCTCACTACCTCTATCTTCCAAGAAATGGGGTTATAAATCAGGACAGCTCAAAATATTTTTAACTGAGTGCGTTATTTTTTTCTGAGGTATCTTTAAACAGAATTAGAATTAGCATTAATTACTTTAATGAATGACATTTCCCATTCTATTTTATTATTTTGAACATGTAATATTTTTAGTTTAATGCTATAACCAGGACTGCCTTTGGGCTTGTGTTTGAATACCTTCTTGAGCAAGTATTTTTACACATCATGAACTAATCAATTGATCTAAATATAAATTTATTTAATTTAAAAAAGATGAAAAGTGTTCCTTAGAAGATAAATCATCCGCACCTCCATTGTAGGTTCAGATAGATCTCCTCAAACACAGATTGCCTTCAGCATCAAATTTTCTGTCCCCTTTAAAGCTTATTTTATAGATATTTTAACGTGTTTTGTTTAACCATAATGAAGTTAGGAAGACTACATGGCTTAGGAGCAACATAAATTTATTGCTTATAGTCTGGATGTTAGGAGTCCAACGTTGGGGATCCAGGCTGGCCAGGTCTTGGTGAGGCTGTAGACTGTAAACTGATACTCTCCCACATAGTAGGAATGTTATGGCACTCTCTCCACAACTCCCTCATGCCATTAGAATGACGCTATTACCATCAGTGACGATGCCTTCTTGTAGCTGCAATCAGCTCCTTGACTTTCTCCTCGCGGTACTAGATAGAACACTGGAATTTAGGAATTTCAATCTATTAATTTGGGAGGAATCTATCAAAAATCAGTTCATTAAAGCCAGAAAAGAAAAGATTCTATTCGAAGCTTTGGGGCAAATAATTTTGAGTTCATGAAAATTCAACCATAACTGTTAATTTTACTGTATTTCAAGGAAAATTTTGAAAAAATAGCAATGAAACCAGAAAGCTTCCTTACAGCATAGTTTTATTCCACAATAAAAATTTAAGTCCTTGTGCATAGTTATAATAACTGGAATGTGTATCTGCAAATATATTGGTGATAGGCAACAAATAAAGCCTTTTATAATAATTGTATGTATTTATGTATGTGCGGAAACTTTCCCTTACAGTTTAGTGAATGAGGTTGGTGATATATTCTAGATTATTTAGATGTAATGTTAATTTTGATACAGACATTCAGATTCAAATATGTTTCTATTTCATCTTTTCTCAGTTATCTGCAATGATTTCATGATCTATACTTTTGCTTTTACTGAACTAACAGCACGGCATTTTAAGGTTCACAAAGAAACCTTTACTTATTTCATTATAAGAAATACCTTTTTTAAAACCAGAGTGAGCATTTAAAATTTTACCTAGTCTACAAATTCCGTGAAAATATCGCTACTATTGGTATTAATTTACTTGACTTTCTCCTTAAAGCAATTTTTGAAACTGATTTAAAAGACGAATTCGTGTATAAAGTATTTTAAAAAATAGAGCTAATGCGTCATTTAGTGTCTCAATTCTTTTCATATGAACATAGAAAAAGAAAGAAAATAATTAGGGATCCTCATTTAGTTGCAATGAAAAGTTGCATTTTAAAGATTTATATGAAATTGACTTTCTTACATTATACTAATTATATCACTGTTTTGGACAGGGTTTTCTTCTAACAGTAATAATTGTTTAATTTGCTGTTCTTCCTTCATGGGTTTGTTCTTTAGTTATCATGGGTCTGTCACAGCACTACAGCCCCTACACATGTTACATGAGAAACACCAATAAATATTTTATATGCCTATGTTTATTATCGATGTTTAATACTAGATTTTTATATTAAATTTTTATTTCTGAAATTTTCAATTTCTTGCTTGATTGCTACTAAAAAGAGATTGTTGCAAACTTGACATGATCAGCATTAAATTAAGTACTTAGTTGCCTATATGTAGGAACCAAAGACATATAGAGTGTTCATGACCCTACAGAATTTATTTTCTCTACCTCTCTCATGTGGTCATACTTCCTTACATTGTATAAGACCTCCACTAAATTGAAGGTAAGGATGAAATAGATCTACAGCCCTTACGTCAAACTAGGCTTAATTGTCTGGGATACCAATTGGCCAACAGAGGTATCACAAAGACCACAAATATATCTATTATCTGAGACAATGAAGGGCACAGGAATCTGAACTATGTCTGAGAACATACTAATCATTTCTTACACAGAATATTATGCTTTATTTCTAGAACATATAAAAACAGGGCAATATTTTTTTATTTAGTCAATCACATGTTAAATAAATATACTTTAATAAAAGATTTTATGCTTATTTATAGTCAGAAACTGGAAACAAAACATGAAAGGCAAAACATGAAACCTGATTTTTGACAATGAAACCAAAGTTGTACAATAGAAAAAGTAAAGCATCTGCAACAAATGGTGCCGGCATACCTGAATGTTGACATGTAGAAGAATGCAAATAGATCTATATCTATCACCATGCATAACATTCAAGTCCTTAACTTTTTATTTTAAAAAAAAAAACAGATTTTCTTTCTTTTTTTTTTTTTTAGTTCAATTTGGACACCATCATCTGACTATAGAACTTCTTGAAGGATATACAAAGATACTCAAAAATATTAGCTGGGGTTCAAGAGAATGGCAAAACATAGATATACAAGATTGAAAGTGCTTACCCTATATGTGTAGCATCTGAAAACTCTGGAAATGAATGATCTGGAAAGACATTTTCAGCAGGAACACAACCAATGATTTCATGGACATGGATAGCAAGGATGAATTCTATTTACAATGACTTGGTTCCTAATTTTCTGTTGTAACAACTTATCCTAAATTTGGTGAATTGCAATACTGACAATTTATATTTCCATTTCAGCTATTAGATGTTTGAAATGGGTTTAAACCACAGGGCATGAATTGCAGTGACTTCCAGACCTCACTGTCTCTGGAGCCCTGGTACTAAATTTCTCCCGGGTTTCTTTCAACCCTTGGAGGTAACCATGATTACTTGAGTGACAGCTTTGTCAATCACCTCATCTTCTGTCACCAAGTTTCCTATTTTATATTTTGTAAAGTAAAATATCGCTTTATTTTCTTTCCTAAAAGTGGAAACATTAAATGAGGTCATACAATGTCAATTTGTATCTGGCTAATTTGAATTGCATGTTTTATTTAAATGATGTTTTAATATAAAAATTATTTATTTTTTTAAATATTTATTTATTTATTTATTTATTATGTATACAATGTTCTGTCTGTATGCCTGCAGGCCAGAAGAGGGTGCCAGACCTCATCACAGATGGTTGTGAGCCACCATGTGGTTGCTGGGGATTGAACCCAGGACCTTTGGAAGAGCAGGCAATGCTCTTAACCACTGAGCCATCTTTCCAGCCCATAAAAATTATTTTTTAAAAAATTGGATGAGTCCACTATAGTGCGCTGTGATGATCCAGTAAATTATTCTCATCCCAAATGTCAAATCATATGTGAATACTCATTGTTATGTAATACATTCAAGTTTCCAGGGACTAGCAAGCAAATATCTTTATGAATTTACCATTAATCTACTGTGAATTGCATAATTCTCATTAAAGCTACTATGTGAATTTTTTACGTTTGTTTAGTCAGGTTGAATTTAGACAGCTAAGGCATATACACACATGCACACACACAGTTGTCTGATATCAGGAATGGTGTTATCCAATGGTGGAGTCACTAGATAAAATAGACAATTAAACAAATTAAATATGGCTTGTCAGAATTATAAGGTGCTGTACATGTAAAGTAAATCATAATTGGAAATCTTAGTAGCATAAAAATAGTATAAAATATTGTATTTTGATTGATTGTGGTTATAAATGATATTCTAATTATATAATATTGAATAAAAATACTCAGTTTTCCCTTTTATTTCAGCATTGCTACTACAAAATTAAAGGTTCTATCAAGTTCACAATTTATTTCAGTGAGGTCACACTCCTGTAGAATATGTATAGGTTTTAAATCTCTTCATCTAAGAGAGAATGTTTCCTTACAAATAAATAATTTAAATTCCTGAAAGTCATACAGCAAGTTAATTAAGTACTCCATTTTATTATTCTATGGCAGTACCGTGCGCCATTATAATTCATATTCATTCTAATTACTCACTGCTGCTTTTCTCTGTTTCGCAGCAATAACCCAGCATCTCCACCTGTGCAATAATTAACCACCTCGTGCTGCTCCAGCTTCCATGAACTCCTCATTCTAGGCACCCACAGGCATCCCAGTACCTTACTCTCCTAGTTCTGATCAAGATTCTCACCAGGATAATTTGTTGGGTGAGTAGCAATCTTCCAGAACCGACACAATACAGCTATTTTGAGGTGTTTAGCATTGTCTTCTAATGTTCTGAGTGTAGTGAGTAAATAAGGAAAAGAGATTTTAATAGAGAGGCTTTAACAGAAGCTTGTGGGGAAGGAGGAATCTTTCAGGAAAGGGTATTTGAGGTTTCAGACTCCTGTTTTCTTCTGAGAGAAGAATTTGGGAGTGTAACCAAGTGACCAATCTGAGAGGTTTTGAACAGTAAAAGTAAATTCAGGAGGATCAAGAAAAGAAAGTTACTGGGGTTTATGAAGCATACTTGTGTATCAAACACCACACCTGATATTCAAGTGAATGCTGAATGTTCTATTGCATGTGTTTATCATAACTTTCATGTTTGCATGGATGTAGAGAAGAGCTTGTGAGAGAGTATACAGATGGTGAAACTCAGTAGAAGACCTCCAGAGGGAAACAGGAGGTGTTGGGAAGCAGGGGAGTGGACAAGAGGCTACAGGGTTGGAAGAGCATGGGACAGGGAAGAGAGATGGGAAAGAAGGTGGGAGAAGAAAAACAACCAAGTCAAAATATGTTTAAAAATGCCGTGGTGAAACCCAACTCTTTGGAAGCAAATAAAAAGCAAGTAAAAGATTCCAAATGCAGTATGTCCTATACCATCCTTTCATGAAAACAAAAGTTGAAGTGTCAGAAAATGAAATTATTTGTTTAAGGTCACACAAATGATATGTTTCACAGGAAAGAGAAATCATTATTTTTTGAAAGATATCCTTGCAGAGTGTTAAAGCTAGACAAAAGAATACATCTTTAGGAGTGTAAAAATGATTCATGACTTGTGAAAACATTAGAAATTGTTGATGATTATACAATGAACTGATGTGCGATCTGTGTGGAGAGGGAAGAAACAAGCTAGGGATGTGTTTTTAGATGGAACCAGACTTGACAATTGTGCAAACAGTAACATACTCAAGTCTTCTAAGAAATGGCACATTCCTTAGACTCACAAGGGTCAGGGTTATATAAGACAATGTTGTAGCAAACACTGTTTTTCTTAATACGTGTGGATAGTGAGAAGATAATTGTATTTGTGTAGGTAATTATTTCCTATCCCTGACTAAAATACCCATTCATTAAAAAAATAGTTGCCAGTGTACACTACTCTTTCTGTCTCAGAGACTCAGAAACATTACTAACTTGTGCTAAATTTTATCATCACAAATACTCTATGAGATAATTTAAATGTAATTTGCATTATGATAGATGAGAAAATAGAGATTCAAGAATGTGAGCTAACTGCTAAGACACACACAAGTGACAGAGCACGTTACACATAACAATGTTATCACAGAGTCTACTGTGGTAGAGCATAATTATGTGACATAAAATATAACTTCACTGTAACATGAAAATTTGGAACTGTGCCAAGAATGATTGTGTATATGTGTTTCATCATTAAAGACTTCATCTTTCTTCTGTTAGTTTTATAGCTACAATATAACATTTCTGTTTGTATCAGTGACAAGTTGAAAACAATTAATTATAGCTTTGAGGTGCTGGATGATGATAATCTCAGTGGATTAAATTTTGATGATATGGGACAGGTTCTCTAACATGATAGCATGAATAAATTCTTAACTCAATGGCTTCCAGGTAGCATTCATTATTGTGAATTAATGAGTTAATCAGCAATGCAAAATATCTCTTTAGGAAGAAAATTGAAGTAAGACTAACACAACTGTCTTCTCAAGTTTGTCAAAGTGAAAATGCCTAATTCCAAAATATAGAGTGTTACATTGAAATATAATTCTCAGTTTTTTAGTTCTTTGGAAATTTTTAATTGAAACTCACTATTGGAAAATTAAGAAACATAAAAGATGAGGTGGACTTGTGAGTGATAATGATATTTTTAACAGAAAAAAAGAATAGATTACTGAACCACAAAAGAAAGTAATTTTACATATTTCTAGGGAAGAAAGACATAGAGAGAATGTAGATACAATGAGATGAGCATTGGATTAATTTTGTACTACCTAATTTAATTTGCCAGCTTGATGTAACCTGTGGTCCCATTGAGATCACCTTTGTTGTCCCTGGTTTCAATTCCCAGGTCTTCAATGGAAAAATATAATTTCTGATCCTTTAACGTCTGAGAATTGTTCTCATATTAGTCCCTTTGGCACTGTTGTTCAATTTGAAGAAGAAACAATAGGGAAAATAGCTTGATATCTTGAAGCCACAACTGACCATCTGCCACCATAAAGGAAATACACTAATTTAATATAATAAAAATTAATTATACTGATATGTTTCACATGACTGAGAATGAAACATGGCTTTCATGTTTCTTATATCAATGTTATAGGGAGTTGGACATTTTTTAATAATTAAAATGGAGTTTTTATAATAGAGAAATTATAGATTGTGGATGCATTGTCTGAAGAACAATCCTGTGTTTTCATCTTTGACATTGTCAACTTATAGAGTTCAGATAAATGTATAAGAAGACACAAAGCATGTAAATATTTCCATCCTCATTAGTCAGATAATAGCATTAAGCACAATCATTTTTACTGACTTTTTTCCTTTCTGGTGTGTTTATTTTTCTTTGTTTTTTTTTTTAAATAGAAATCACATATATTTTCATTTTGAATTACATATGCAGATGAAACTTATAAATTGATAAATTAAAACAGTCAAGTCTAACAAACCAAGCAATGTTTCAGACAACAAGAGAAAATTTACTTCACACGAGTGAACCTTCTAGTGGCTGTTGCTTATGTCACCTCTGATGTAATTCTTAGCTTTTTTCTTTTTTTTCATTTCTTTTCTTTTACTTAAAGTAGATTTTTTTCTTATGCAATAGATCCTAATTACAGCTTCTCTTCTATTGTTCCCAGTTTCTTTTTTACACTCTCTTCTCTTCAGATCCACTTCTTTCCTTTTTCTCTTTACAAAAGAAGAGACCTCTATAATATAATGATCGAATGTGGCAAAATAAAATATAAGATAAAACAAAACCATTGCTTTGATTCTGGACAAGACAACCTAATACAAGGAAAAAAGTCCCACGATCAGGCACAAAAATCAGAGACCCACTGGAGACGACACACTTTGGAGTCCCATAAAGATTCTAAACTGAATGCAGAGGACCTGGTGCAGACCTGTACAGGTCTTGTGTTTGCTACTTCAGTCTTTGTGAGTTCATATGAGCTTTGTTCGATGGATTCAGGGCCTTGTTCTCTTGCTGTCCTGCATTCACTCTTGCTATTACACTCTTGCTGCCTCCTCTTCTGGAAGATTTCCTGAGTTCTGAATGGAAGAATTGATGAAGACTTCAAATTTGGAGATGTGTGTTCCAAGGACTGACTCTGCCTCTCCCTGTCTCTCCCTGTCTCTCCCTGTCTCTCTCTGTCTCTCTCTGTCTCTCCCTGTCTCTCCCTGTCTCTCCCTGTCTCTCTGTCTCTCTCGGTCTCTGTCTCTCTCTCTCTCTCTCTCTTTCTGCATGTGTGTGTGTGTAATGTATTGTTGTGTGTCTCTGCATCTGTTTCTATCCACTGCAGGAGGAAGCCTCTCTGATGGTGACAGAAAATGGCACTGATCTCTGAATACAGCTGAATATCATTATGAGTCATTTGATATATTGATACATTGATACAATGGCAAAGAAATTATTTCCTTAGTGTTAATATAATGTTCTCTCCACCATATTCTCTCAATATTAGTAAAGTCAGCAATTAATTTTCACAAGATGACAGCCAATCAGGCTACTTCAAGTCTAAGTAGTTTACTCTGAGATCATTTCTATTTTTCTACATTTTTTTTGCTGCATCATGTTCAATATTTTATCTCTTTTTCTGGTTTTATTTTTTGAAGATGATAATGATTGGTGTGTGTGTGTGTGTGTGTGTGTATGTATCTGCATGTCTGTGTGTGCATGCATGCTTTGGTGTCATGGTTTGTGTGTATATATAAAGATTGAGCAACATTTAAGAGTTGTTCTTTTTTTTCTACTCTTGCTTCTGGGTATAAAACTCAGATTATTAGGCTTGTATGGCAAGCACTTTCATCTGCTGAGCTTCTCAACACACCATACTCCACTTTCTTTACATAAATGTTTAATATTTGAGTGTCAATTTAGACAATCTGCTTCTTTGTGTATTTTTTTTTTTTAATGAACACATCCCTTCCCACCCACACTTCCACAACTACAGTATGAACTAAGCTACTTATTTTGGTTTACTTTATTTTTTTTCTCTTGATGGATTCATTGATATCTTAGATTTGATGTCTTCATTTAATTGTCTGATAAACTAAGGACCTTGTTTTCTTGAAGCATGCATTAAAAACTAAATAGTCACATAAGTGTTTCATGTTATCATGGGGGTTCTAACATTTCTGAGTTGTTACTTATAATATATGTTCTAATGAATTGTTATTTCACCTTAAAATTTCAGTTTCATTTGAATAGTTCCAATTTTCATCTCTCAAGTCTTCAGTAGCTTTTGAGTCAGTGATCTTCGCTTAATGAAATCTTAAGTGACTTACTGAGGCAGGAATTATCTACCTTTGTGTCAAGATTTTTATTAATTTGTATATTCTATTCTATATTATTTATTGTTTGGAGTTTGAAGTATACACACACAAATACACAAATATAATCTCTCATATAGTCTCTCAGCTTTTCTTGAAACTCATTGTGTAACTCAAGGTGGATTAGAACACCTCCTGCCTCTCCTCTCTGTTGTAGCTACAGGAATATGCCAATAACTCTTCCTGGAAAGGGCTTTTTTTCAATACCTTTTTTTATAATTGACAGCACAGTGATAAAAAAAATGAAAGGATATTTATTGGGTTATAAGTTGCTTTTTTATTAATTTATTTATTTATTAAAGATTTCTGTCTCTTCCCCGCCACCGCCTCCCATTTCCATCTCTCTCCGCCAATTAAGTCCCACCCAGCCCGAAAAGCAATCAGGGTTCCCTGT